AAGAAAGCATTTTAACAACAAAAGGCATGAGAAAAATGGTAGAAAATCCTTCAGTTATTCTTACTGAGTTTTTAGAAATAGAGTGTGGGGCATGTTACACCTACTGAAAGTTTTTTCCTCCATTCAGTCTGCACCAAAGTCAGGCTGGTTAAACCCTCTACATCCTGCAGTTTCGAGAAGCAGGCTGTCCTCCCTGTGGAGAGGCAAGATCCTTTTGTTGTAATGGTACGGTCTCAGGAAGAATTTTCCCTGGTGGCTGTTGGGTATAGGCTTCTCCTGTGTCCTTGGCATAGCACTGGATCACCTTACAGATAGATGTATGTGTTAGTCTCTAGACTTGGTGGGCGTTTTAAAAAAGTCATCAGCATTGTATTTATTTCACATAGTGGGTTCCCACTGGCTTTGGAAACAGGAAAGAATCCAGCCAGGAAAATGAACCTTCACAAAATACATACATTTATTGTAAGTTTATTAAAATATAATTGAAAGTTTCATATTTGCATGGGCGTTTGGAGCACATTGGTTAGCAGGTGCTTCTACTTAAGTTGGTTATAATAAACAGTGCACCAGAGAGGGAATTTGGCATTTTCCCTATAGTGGTATGCAAAACCTTCAAGGTATGTAGTGATGAATTTAAACTAGAAAGCAAAGATGTTTGTATGAAGATTGGAGAGTCAGAATGATTGGGAAGGAACTTGATTTAGTAGTCATTTTGAGAGAACCTTGGGGTGCATTGATTCAAGTCAATACTTGATGGTTGACTATGTATGGCAGAATTTTATGGGGATGAAAGAGAGAGATGGAGGGGATTCTAAGATATCGGTTAGAGAAGAGAGGGAGACCCCCGCTAGATGGTAGGGTGGTGTCCAGAGACTAGAGAAGGTTATGTGTTAGATGTGACATTTGAATTGGGCCCTGGAAAATTCTCATGCATGAACACAGGTAAGTAGAGAAGGATTGTTGGTAGAGATTGCTTCAGAGGCATGAGAGTTAGAGCAGTTTGGGCTGGTGGAGTATGAAATGCTAGGTGGTGGGTAGTGTTTGAAGTGATTCCAATTCCTAGCTAAGGAGTTTATCCTTCATTCACGATGGGTTGCTGATCAGCGAAGGGTTTGGAACCAGGGAGCTGACATTGATTCTGTAAGTCTGCCTGTGGAGCAGGTGTTAGGCATTGGTAGCTCTGTGAGGCCGAGGCAGGGACTGACATTGGCAGCAGGTGTGTCCTGATAGTGACCGCTTCGCCGTTAGTTTTTTTTTTCTAAAAACTTTTCATCCTGATGGTGATGATCAAAGCTACCAATTATTGATCATTTTCTGCATCCTGTGCATGGGGCTGAGTAACTCACCCTTATAGTCACTCTGATATACATATATTATTGATCCTGTTGTAGGATGAAGAAGGTGAGACTCAGCAGAGGTTAGACCTGCTGCTCCAGGTCGCATGGCTGAATGGCAGAGCTGGGATTGGGATTCAGGGCCATCTGTTCCCAAGATCACTCTGCCCCTACGGCTGGCTGCCTGTGGGCTCTGTTGCTGTGCTGCAGGACACCTTCACCAGGAGCCTTGCTGCACTGCGCGCCGCCCTGCCACACCTCTGTTCTCCCCATATGTGGTTATCGTTTTATGTGATTTCATGTACCAGAGTGGGCAACTCACGCCTGTTTGTGTCCTGGGCCAGCTGTGTGACCCTGGGGATGCCTGCAGTGCCTGGGTCTATAAGGTGGTAGTGAACTGTGTGGCCTCTAGAAGCCCTCTGCTTGGGGGTTAGGCATGGACAGAGAGGTGCAGTGGCTGTAGGATTCTTGGATGCTAGAGAGAGCACTGTCGAAAGGTCTGGGCACTGTATTCAGTCCTGAGCCCTCTCAGTAACGCTCATGCTCATAAACTTTCTAACAATCTGGCTCACGGACCTTAGTTTCTACTGCATTTCCAGGAGCTACAAGTGTGGCCACACACCCCAAGCTGGCTAGAATGTAGGACTGCTCCATTTTCAGAGTAGCCCTTTTGGTCACGTTCTGTAGCTTTTTCCCTTTGAATCCCACCCTGCCCCCATCTTCCCTGTGATCTTGATCCATTCCTATTTTCTTTTACTACCTGAAACTGGGCCCAGTCAGAATCTGGCAGTGGGGCTGAAGGCACTGGCATTGGGTCAAAGCCCTCTTGTGGTGGTTTTCCACTCAAGGCTGCTGTTTTCTGTTTTCAATTTCTAATGAAAATTTTGTGGGCAGTCCAATATTTTATACCAGTCCACTCTAGGCTGTCTTATGTCCAGACCCCTGAATCTGTCTGCTTGCCATGATCACTTACTGTTAGTGGACTACAGTTACAATTAAAGCGCACTATTAAGAGGGCTGCATTTAAAGTCCATGTGAATCCCAATAGGAGGAGATTGTGGAGCGGTATAGTCAGCAAGCCTTTATTAGCCACACATGTGTTTACATAAATGTTCAAGCACACGTAAAGACCTAAGGTTGCATGTTAGAATATTTAATGATTATGCGTGCTGGTGAGGAGACAGAGGGAAGCTATGTAGACAGGGATGGGGACCATGGTTCGGAGGGGTGGGGGAGAGGAAGTAGAAATGGGATACCCAACTAGGCAGAGTTACTAAGCATCCCAATTGGGCAGGTAAAGAAAGGCACACATGAGAAAAGCGAGGTTTAAAATATATGAACATTGCTAAGACAGGTAGCTTGCAAATAACTAATCACAAGGCTGTGAGGCATACAGACCAATCCCAAGGATGTTACTAAGGCAGAATTATTTGAAAGGACCTATCAGGAGCTGGCATGGCAATACCCTGCCCCTATATGAAAAAGTGCAGCTTCCTCACCCTCTCTCTCCGGCCTGCAATGGGTTCCTAACATTCCTGTGGCTTTCTCCCAGAAGATGGGAGATGTCCTTTCAAAATGCTGACACGCTGAGCTCAAAAGGTTCGCCATCACTGCCCTAGAGTAAAAATCGTGCTTCCTCTTGTCCTCTCTCCTCTCTCTGGCACACAATGGGTTCCTGAGTTCCTGTGGCAGGGGAGCACATCCCTAAGCCCACGCTGCTTATGGCCATGTGGGACTCTGCACATGGATTAATAGACTTTAATTATCTTGGGTGCTCTCAATAAACTTTGGTTCCATTACTCATTTTTGTCTGCTACATCATTCTTCGATTTCGTGAGACAACAAACTCAGACCCCTCATTTTGGTTTCAGTGGGATTACAGATCCTTTTTGTTTTCATACATTTTCTGTAGTGACCATGTATTTCTTTTTTTTTTAAACTTTTTAAAGTTGGGGTGTGTGAATGTGTGTTATTTTTAACTCTTGAGGCTAAAATATTCTGTGGGGATATTGAGAATAGTAGATACTGAGGATGAGCTAATAGTAAGGTGTAGCACACAAAAGCTGGGATTTTGGTCCTAGTAATTTTTGTTTTTGTTTATTGTAGCTAAGCTCCACCCATCCATTGGATGGTTGGCATTTTACTTTGTTGAACAAATGAGTGGCATGAGACTGTTAATCCATATCAGGGCCACCAGAAGATGACAGCATTGGTAAATCAGTCTTTGTTTTTAATTTCAGTGGATTCATTTTAAATATATATATTGATTTCAGAGAGAAAGGGAGAGGGGAGAGAGAGATAGAAACATCAATGATGAGAGAGAATCATTGATTGGCTTCCTCCTGCATGCCCCCACTGGGGATCAAGCCTGCAACCCGGGCATGTGCCCTTGATCGGAATTGAACCTGGGACCCTTCAGTCCACAGGCTGATGCTCTATCTACTGAGCCAAACCAGCTAGGGCTCCAGTAGATTCATTTTAATGATAGTATCTGTTATCAGTGGCAAGTGTTGACCTAGTATCTCTTCATCCTTTTGTGTTGGCTTATTATTGGAGTTTAGCACCTGAATTTGAATTTCAATTTTAAATTAGACACAATTAGAATAAGTGGTTTAGACTACAACTTAATAGTAGTTATCTCTGGGTACTATTATCAAGTAAGTTTAATAGTATTCAAAAAGGAAAAACAAAACTCTCAATGACTGACAAGATGTTTAGTATCTACTCTTGTCAAAATAGCTTCCTTTAAAAGAAGGTAGGAGAACCTATTGCCAAAGTAATGGGAAAACAGCGTTGAGTGAAAATGTTTCAGTAGGATGGTTTCTTCTGAGATGCTACTTGGCTAATCCTTGGGGAAATTTGACTGTGAGCATGCAATCATTACATTTTTACACACAGAATGGGCTCAGGTTGGCATCTCATCCCCTGTGATTGCCAGAGGCAACACACTGATTTAATTTGTGCCCCTGTGGCAGACATTTTTGAATAATTTCAGTGATTTTTTTACGCCATGTTTTCTATTTCCTTTGCGGTTTCCTACCTTTGTTGCTCACCACTCTTGCTGATTGCATTCTGAGGAGGGTGCAGTCATTGCAGGTCCACAGGGTTGTCTGAGAGGCCGCTGCTCTTGTGTCCCTGGCAGTCTGTGGCATTGCCGCTTGGAATGCTGCCATGGCCAGCACATGTGAATGCTGCCTCTCACAGATTGACAAAAACAGAGCAGATCTTAACTAGGCATGTTTGACACTTGACTTGGACCCTGAAAAACATACACTTGGGGATTTTGAATTCTTTTGGTGGAGACTTGAAATTTCTCAAAGGGCTTGCCTCTGAAGTTTTGTTTCCTGCTTGTGCCCTTCATGTTTTTGTTGTGCTAAATGTTTAACATGGAAGAGCCCCTGATGCATCTAATTTGAGTGCAGATATCTTCTCCTGGATAAGGAGTCGCAGAGGCACAGGAGAGAGCTGGCTGGATCCCTGCTGCTGTGGAGGGTGCCATGGCACTAATGGGCATTATTTATAGGCTTTGGGGTGGGCATGCCTTCCTAAGCGCTTGGACGTGCAAAAGCCACTTTTATGTCATAGATGTTTGTTTTATAAGTACATCCTTAAGATGATCAGAAAGGGGTGAAAAAGTCATTTCTTATACCATTTCTTAAAATGCAGAGTGGACACAAATATCTACCAGGTATCTTCGAGAGCAGCTGGCCAAGATTTCTGACTTCTACCACATGGCTTCCAGCATAGGTGATGGCACTGTCCCTGTGCCCCCGGATGTGGAGCAAGCCCTGAAGCAGTGGGAGTACAACGCAAAGCTGGCATTCCACATGTTCCAGGTAACTTGCCAGGCAGCCAAGACTGCGCAGCATTCTTTTAAAAAGAGAGCAAGTTCCTTATCGTTTAGTTTTCTGGGGGTTAAATTGAATCTTTCTATGAACAGTACATTCAGAGAAAGCCATCTGACATTTCTCACGTTGAATTGGAGTAAAGGTTGCACCTTGGCCCTGAGATGACAGCTGCTTCTTGTACATGTTGACCTCCAGCTTTAATGATGTCAGCCCTGCTAGTGCTGTTACTATGTAATTGCACTATTAAGTATGATCCTTTTAAACCTTTTCTTTTGCAAAAATTCGATGTGTTCATTCAAAAAAATCTTTGTGCTAATGTCTCCTAGTAGATCTTTAGAGTTTCATTATTTCAGAGATAGGTCACCTTTATTGGGCTCAGCTGCAGTTCAAAATGCAATTGATGGGGCCTATAAGGGCAGTGTGGCATCCAGACAAGTTGATGTAAATCACATGGACCAGAAGAGGGCGTCTGTGCCTCAGTTTTTACTCCTGGCAAGGAGGAGGAAGTGTGCATATTTAGCTGAAATTGTATCGCTGGCATAGACTTTCACTACCTGCTCTCTTGACCAAAGAGAAAGGGGATTAGAAAGGATGTGTGGCTTCTAAATTTCCTTTTTAGAACTTTAATTATAATTTCCAACTTGCAAGTGATTTTTTCCTAAGAGCACAAAGTAGGAAAAAGCGTGGTCCTCTTGAGAAATGGCATGGTTGCAGTCAATGAAAACAACTCTTTACAAATCCTAGCTCCACTTATTACAGGATTACTTCAGTGCGTGCTCAATTACTTTTATTGAGCTGAGGATTTAATCTGCATCTTTTAAAACATGTCTCTCAACAAGCTTATTGTCTTTGGGAGGTTATCTTTATGTATTAGGAACATTGGAATCAGTATGTCTTTTTAAAAAATTATTATTTTACTATTTTTTAAATTTAATTTTTTCCATCACCATTTATTCCCTCTATGCCCTCTTCCACCTCCACCCATCCCCCTCAACCCCCACAGTCACTACACTGTTGTCCAGATTCATGGGTTTTTCTCTCACTTTTTTTTTCTCAATCCCTCTACCTCCTCAACAGCCCCCCTTCCCCTAGGGTTGTAAACTGATTGGAATCTAATTGTAATATTAATGCTACAATTTGAAAGTTCATGATATTTTTAATTAGTCACATTCTGAAATGTGAAACTGATCCTAGTATATACACATGCAGAAATAAAGGCATGGGTACATAGACAAAAGCACATTGAGGAGGCACTATTATATAATCATTGGCAATCATATTTATTTAAAATTTTTAAAAATCTTAAGTTCATCATTTCTTATACCTTAATGCAAAATTCCATTTTATTTATTTCTTTATGGAGTGAAAATTCACTTTTCTGGTTTTAAAGTTTTAAATTGAAGTTTTTCTGTTAACAGAAAACACTTTAACACTTTTTGACTTTCAATATTTAAAGTTAGAAATTAGCGACAAGTAAATATCTTGATATCATGTCAGTGTGGTGTCATTGTAATCCTATAAATACTGTATTTACCAGTACATTTTTTCACAGTTTGTTGGTAGCCATGGCCATGGACCACTGGTAATACATAGATCTGTAAGAGGTGCTAAGAACAAATTTGGAGTTCATATTAACTACTAGGAAGGTTGTTACCAGAAGGACCATAAAAATATGTGTCTTTCCTAGGAAGCAGCTTTTTGTTTCTATCTTGAAGTGTCTTTCATGATGTGAATCATGATACAGAACTAATGTGACATCTACTATGCATGTGCAGGGACTATCATAAAATAATGTGTGTATTTATATGTATGTATATGTGAAGGCAGTAGAATGCTTACATTGAGGGTCTGCACCACCCCTGTGGGGCGTTTTGAAAATTTGTAGTTGTGTTACTGTTTCTTACTGTAGTTATGTTGGAATACTTATCCATTACAGCATGTTATTATAAATTCCTTTAATTTCTTTATAATATAGTTATGCCATTATCTTTTTTAAGATATATTTTACAGGTAGCTTATAGTATCTGAATTTCATTTTGGGATAGAGGAGACTATTAAGGGGGCATTAGATCTGGTGGGATTGTCAACTTCTCATCAAGATAATGGTATGATGGGGGCTTCTTTATGATTATCGCCATTGGCCAGGTTTCCTCCTGTGAAGATGAGTTCATACACCTCAAAATCTAGCCGGGTGCTTGATACATGCCTTGGGAGTCTTTTAAGTTTTCTTTCTTGTAGGAATCAATTTTTTTTTTAAATTTAGAATTAAGCAGATTACCAAAAACCACAAACAGCAACAAACCCCCAAAGCAACCATACAAAGTAATATTAGTTCTTTTTGTTTGAAATTGGGACTATGATCAATGAGTTTTACTACAACAAAAACAATAGTAAAATTATGCTTAAGCATAAGAATAGCAGTGCTTTTTGCATTTTAGTTAGTTTTACTTTAACATTACTAGTGTAATTTTTCTTTGTCCATTTAAGGAAGGAATGCTGGAAAAACATGAATATTTGACATGGATCTTGGATGTTTTAGAAAAGATCAGACCAATGGATGATGATCTTCTTAAACTCCTGTTACCATTAATGCTTCAGGTATAGTATACATAACCAGTTGATTTCATGGGCAGGAAATGATCTGATAAGAATGCTTAGGTAAGTAGAGGTGGAAGAGGAAAACATTGCCCTTTGAAATGGAAGGAAAAAAAAATATCTTGATGCTACAACACATGAAGTGATACGAAGCTTCAGTTCTGGCAGTCATTTGTAATGGCCATTTCATAGTTTTAGCCACATGCCCTTTTTAAGTATTCTCACTACATTGATTTCTACCATCACCAAGCTAAGCAAACAGCTCTTTAAATACTGTCCCCTTGTTCACACAGATGTCTGTGAAAACAAAACAAGTCATCTCTTTTTAAGGACCCAGAGGATCTTCTATATTCATTTTACCTGTTTTGAGCCACTGTGGGAACTTCCTATTTTAATGATTGGTCTAAAATTTGTTGAAATTTAGGTTATCTGGGTAACATTTATTTAAAAAAATTAAAATTTCCTTGGAAAGGTAATGCATGTCCAATACAAAAGAGATTCTAATGAAAAGTCACCCATTTCCGGCCCCAGTGTACCCTTTCCGAGGCTGCCCCATGCTGGTCCTGTGTGTCCTCTCTGGGGGTGCCTGGGCCTGTGCTGCCTGGTAGAGGAGCCGCCAGCCAGATGTGGCAGTTAACTGTTGGAACTGTGACAAGTACAAATTGATATGTGTTCTCGGTACAAAATAGACAACAGATTTCAGACTTAATGCAGAAAAAGGTTATATATAATGTCTCAATACATCTTGGTTTGATTACATGTTGAAATGATAACATTTGCCTATATGAGGATAAATAAAATATATTATTCTTTTAAGTTTACCTTTGTTTTTCCAGTGGCTATTAGAAAATTTAAAATTACATATGTGGCTTGTGTTATGTTTCTGTTGGACAGCACTGGTCTATACGGTACCTTTGAAGTTTGTCTTTTTAAATAAAAAGAATTCTGTATTACGATAGTTATTTCACTGACATGACCGAGTCTGGTGTCCTTGTGCTCCTCAGTATTCAGATGAATTTGTTCAGTCGGCCTACCTGTCTCGTCGTCTTGCCTACTTTTGTGCCCGGCGTCTTGCCTTGCTGCTGAGCGATAGCAGTGGCCTCCTCACTGCCCACTCGCCCCACATGATGATAGGACCAAACAATGCGAGCATTGGGGCCCCCAGCCCCGGCCCCCCCGGCCCCGGCGTGAGCCCCGTGCAGCTGGCCTTCTCAGACTTTCTGTCCTGTGCACAGCACGGTCCCCTCATTTATGGACTTAGTTGTATGTTGCAGGTAAGTCCTTTGACCTTGTTACTTATGTTAGATTTCAGTGTAGGAGATAATTGTGGTGGGAATTGCAACAGCTTTCACATCTCAGCTCTAGTTTCTTCCTCAACCATATAATTTATAGATTGAAATTTCATGTTTTTATTTCCCTATGTTAAATCATGCCAAAAGAAGATCAGTTGCTTTAGTTTAGCAGTAAGTTATTGTGCTTGTTCTTCATGAGGGCCATTAAGTAGTCAGTGAGTAAGACCCTTTAGGGAATCCATGGAACAAGCCAGCTGTATCACTTCTCTGGAAGATCAGCTTCTTCATGCAGCATCTTTAGCTTCCTCAGTTCACATCCTGAGTGGTTGCCTTTTCTCTCTTCCTTTAAATCCAATCAATCCATCCTGCTTTGCTCCATTGAGCATCACTGCTGGTGCCCTGCGGACCATCCCCAGCATGCTGGCCCCTGAGCTGATGCTGTTAGGAATGAGGTACAGCCCCGCACTAGAGGAGCTCCCAGCTTAGTGTTCAGGTCACACTTCTTGGGCTCTTAATGTGTCCGACTGTTGGCTAAGGGGCTTTGGGACAGGCCTGGCCTTGGAGACACAGTCTCTGCTCTGGTAGAGTTTGCTGCTTTGTCAGGAAGACAGGCTGACAGGCAGTTTCTGAGACTCCGACAACGGCTGACAGGGGGATGCACAGTGAGCTAAGGGAGTTGAGAAGGATCATTTCTGATCCCACCTAGAATTCAGGGGAGCTTCCTGAGGACATAGTCCTGACTGGCGCGTACAATACGAGTTAAAAAAGGTGGTAGAGTGTTCCTGGCAGAGCTCACAGCAGGGGCAGAGGCTCAGAGGGTTGGCTGGCCCTCTTGTGTGCAGGTCGGTATTAATGGAACATGGAATATAAAATCTGTTGGGGATCAGCACATAGAAGACCCTTGTGCACCTTATGATTGGGAATAACTGGAGGATTTTGTGCATGGAAGTGACAGTGTGTGGTTAGTTAGATTGTTTTAGCAACAGTAGAGGGACAGCTTATGGGAGTGAGGAAGTAGGGGAGAGAGAGACAAGGCAAAGAAGTAAGTTTGGAAGAGTCTAGGTAAGTTCAATTTTGGACTGTTTTATCCCTTAGGATCTCCAAGTGGGTATTTTCAAGAGGTTGTGACATGTCCGATTCTGTCTCCTGAGCCAAGATGACCGGCCACATGTGGATTTGAATCATTCAAGGCATGTGGCTGGGAGGGGCGAGGTTACCTAAAGAATTAGCGGTGGGAGAGGCCAGGTGGACCAAGGGGCATGAGTGGTTAAGAGATGGCAGAGGGGATTTCACAGAGATGACCCAGAAAGTTGGGTCAAACTGGAGAGAGAGTGAGAGAGAATTTATTGTAGAAACAAAGATGAGGAGAAGAAGAATACTGAGCATGTTCTATGTTCTAGGCACTGTTCTAAGTTGTATCATATATTAAGCCATGTAGTTCTCAGAACCACCCTATCTGATAGTAACCTCTGTTAGTTTTGTAACACTAATGATGAAAAGGTAGTATAGGTCACACCTGAGGTCAGCAGCAAAGCTGGAATTCAGACCAAAATTCTGGATCCAGAGTCTACATTCTTGACAACCACGTTAAATGTCTTCTCTAGGTACTGCAGAAAGTTTTGAAATGGAGTTAGTAGTGGTAGTGGCAGTGCCCAGTGGATTGGGGAGGTCTGGTAAGAAGGTGGCTGAACTTGTCTTCGACAGTATGGTAGTGTCTTTGATGATCAGTCAGATTTTGGGTGAGAAGCCAGGTTAAGGCAGGTTGACAGGTGATGCAGAATGAGGTGAAATAATGCTCCTCTTAGTTTGAGAACTGTTTCTATGAAGGCAAGAGATAGAAATTGCAGCTGTGTGAATGAGATTTTTTTAAAAAAATTATTTTTGACGGGTGTATTTCTAAGCTAAGGGTAGACTAGTAGAGGTGAGTCTGGGAATAGTATTTGATAGATCATTGTCTTGGATATGGGAGGCTTTGGAACTAAGAATGCAAGGGAAGGGCTCTGCCATGGGCAGGGGGTGAGAACCCCACTGTGTCACAGACAGCATAAAATGGGGAGGGATAGATGCCAGGGGAGACATGCACTGGAGGGTTCAGAGACTTTACGGTCCTCCTGTTTGCCATCTGATTTCCACAGATATGTCTCCATACCTCCAAAGGTAGTACTTTTATTTTTCTATTCACTTTTTAGAAAAAGGAAATGTTGCATTCATTCTCTCAGCTCTTTTTGTTTGCTGTTGAGTAGCATGATAGCAGAATGGTTAAGACATATACTTTATTTTTTATTTTTTTAAATATATCTTTTATTGGTTTTTTTTTACAGAGAGGAAGGGAGAGAGGTAGATAGTTAGAAACATCGATGAGAGAGAAACATCTGATCAGCTGCCTCCTGCACACTCCCTACTGGGTATGTGCCCACAACCAAGGTACATGCCCTTGACTGGAATAAAACCTGGGACCCTGGCGTCCACAGGCTGATGCTCTATCCACTGAGCCAAACCGGTTAGGTCAAGACATATACTTTAAAATCATTCAGACAGCCCTAACCGGTTTGGCTCAGTGGATAGATTCAGACAGACCTGACTTGGGCTCTGCTCTGCCAGTTGGTAACTTGGACCTTGAGGCTCTGTTTCCCAAGTGTGAATGGGGGGATGATAACAGTTCTTCTTCTCCTCCTCCTCCTCCTCCTCCTCCTCCTCCTCTTCCTCCTCTTCTTTCTTCTTTTTTAAATCTTTATTGTTTAAAGTATTACCTATAGTATTACATATGTCTCCTTTTTCCCCCATTGGCCACCCCCACCTCTCCAGCACATGCCCTCACCCCCCTAGTGTCTGTGTCCATTGGTTATGCTTATATGCATGCATACAAGTTCTTTGGTTGATCCCTTACCCCCCACCTCCACCTTCCCCTGCCTTCCCTCTGAAGATTGATGGACTGTTTTAATGCTTTACTTATTACCAGATGGGGTTAAGGTTATGAGGACAGAAAGCTTCCAGGATAGTGTTCAGCACATAGTATGTGTTCAATTAAATGTGAGCTGTACTATTTACTTTGCATTTTAGAGGCAGCAGGATCAACATAGGAGAATACCAGGCACGTGTGCTGGACTCAATTTGGGGCTGTTACTAATCTCTGTCTCACGTTCCTCTTTCACACAGTTGGGGAATGGGGTTGCTGTGATGTAGAAGTAAGGTGGTCATAGAAAGTACTTCGGGCAAGCTGGTTGAGTAAGACAGTCTGTAAGGGTCTCAGCCAGGGTGGACGAGCTACAACTGAGGGCCAAGTGCAGCCTGTGAGCTATAATCATTTCATGTTTCCAATGAGTTATTAAAACAAAAAAAGAAGAATATGAGAGAGAAACTATAGATGTTCCAAAAAGCTCAAAACATTTACTCTCTGGCTTTTTATAGAAAAAATTTGCCAACCATGATGATTACTTTATTTTTATGTTTCCTAGGTTTCCTGTACTAGGTTTTCTGTACTAGGTAATTTCTTAATACTATACCTCCTCCCTTTCAAAGGGGTAATTCTGTCTTAGTTTTGTCTTATCACTTGAAAAGATGAGAATGGGATAAGATATTTTAATCTTACTGGTAAGAAACTGTAATAGTCATGATAAGGTGTCATTTTACTGTGAAGCTGTTGTTATACCTTTTCTTTCTCTTTATCTGGATTTTCTCGCTTTCTCTCCAGACTGTCACTCTCTGTTGCCCAAGTGCCTTAGTGTGGAATTATTCCACAAATGACAGTAAGAGCATGAACCCAGGCTCACCCCTGGATCTGCTGCAGGTGGCGCCCTCCAGCCTCCCCATGCCGGGCGGGAACACGGCCTTCAATCAGCAGGTAGACTTTCTGTTGCAGTACTTTGATGGGGGTTCTCATTCTTGAGAGTTGTCAGGGCATGGAGGGCCAGGTGGGTTTTAACATCTCACATGCTTGGGTGGCATTCCCAGCTCTGCCCCTCTCTCTGGGTGGCCTTGTGGGGAAGCATGTTGCTCCCTTTCTTCTTACCCTTTGCCAGGCAGTTCTTGCAGAGAGTTCTTCCACCCAGACGATAATTATAGTGGTGTTCCACAACTCTCAAAGTAGTGGTCTGTGATATTTAGTAATTATTATGTTTTTATTAGTGCTGGGTTATTTGGTTCAAAGACTTAAGAAACTTGAACCAAAGAATGGTGACTAATATTTAGAAAAATGTCTCTGTTTTTTCAGAGCAGTCTTATTAAGTTAATAAGCATGACTGGTTGCTTTCATACGTAGAAGAATGGCTTATAGATGATATTTAGAACTTTCACTTTCTATGTGATGTCCTAATATATTTTCAGTTATAAAGGTGTTTTTTTTTTTGTAAGCATTTATTATTAAAAACTGGCATAGAATCACCACTTGTAAATTTTAAAATGCACTCTTGGGGAAACAGGCTGAACTTCCTACAATGCAGTGAATACTGTATGTAGTTCACCATAGGATTCTCTGTTCATGTGGAAAATCATGACACGATTTAAACAACCACTGTGGCTCTCCAAGCACAAGTTAATTAGAAGTGCTTATTTTTCAGGTTCGGGCAAGGATTTATGAGGTAGAACAGCAGATAAAACAGAGAGGCCGTGCAGTGGAAGTTCGGTGGTCTTTTGACAAGTGCCAAGAGTCAACAGCAGGTACAGAACACAACGGAGGAGTGCTTTTGAACATGGGACTTCATCTGCCATGCTTCTGATTCTCATCCGCCTGTCCACATATTGGATAAGGATGCTCTCTGCTCTCTGACGGAGCCACCTATTGAATTCTGAGGAAGTTCTTCTACTTTTTAAAAAATATATTTTATAGATATTTGATTTTTTACAGAGAGGAGGGGAGGGGGATAGAGAAACATTGATGAGAGAGAAACATCAATCAGCTGCCTCCTGCACATGCCCTACTGAGGATGTGCCTGCAACCAAGATACATGCCCTTGACCGGAATTGAACCTGGGACCCTCCAGTTCGCAGGCCGACGCTCTATCCACTGAGCCAAACCGGTTAGGGCATGAGGAAGTTCTTTATGCCCTTCAGACCCTGGCTGTCTAGTTTACCAGGTTTGGTTTTGTTGGCAACTCTTCTATCCTGGGAATGATTTTTTAAAATCCCTTTTGCACCCATAATAATGAGTTTTGTACTGTGCTGTTTGGCCTCATTTAGCCTCTTTAACTGCTTGCTTACTTTCCATTTCTAGGGGTCACTATTAGCCGGGTTTTGCACACGTTGGAAGTGTTGGATCGACACTGTTTTGACCGAACTGATTCTAGCAATTCATTGGAGACGCTTTATCATAAGATTTTCTGGGCGCACCAAAATAAAGATAACCAAGAGGTAGTTATTTTTTTCTTCTTTTCCAATTTTATTGGCATATTTTCTTCTTTTTCATTCTATAAATTTTGCCAAAGCCTTCACAATAAAGTGTAATACCTTATGAAGAGGTCTTCACCCTGAAATCATTCTATTGTACGACTGAAAAGTTCCACCATTATAAAAATGTCCGTTGGGTTGGTCTACTAGGTATATCGGTTGGAAAGCTTTTTCTTCATCCTTTTATTGTCATTTCTCATCATTTTCATTTTAGAAGAATATCCTTCATCTAGTGATTGGATTTGATGCAGTGGTTTGGCTTTAATGCAGTGGAAGTAATAGATTTAGCATATCAGAAAGCAGCGAATTAATACCTGTGGTTATGGTCTTTGAAAAATCTGTAGACAGTATATTATACAGCATTCTCCAGAGAAACAGAACCAATAGGGGAAAATGTAAATATAAATATATATATGTATGTGTATACATATGTATGTGTGTATATATATGTATGTGTATGAGTATATATATATACACACATATATATATTAAGAGAGAGAGTATTTACAGTCATTTGCCACATAATGATATTTCAGTCATTGACAGATTGCATATATGACAATGGTCCCATAAGATTATAATGGAGCTGAAAAATTCTTATTGCCTACTGATGCTGTAGCCATCATAATGTTGTAGTACAGTGTGTTGCTCATGTGTTTGTGGTGATGCTGGCATAAACAGACCTACTGTGCTACCTGTCATATAAAAGTATCGCACAAAAGTATCTACACTAATAAAAGAGAAACATGGTAATTGGCATACGACCGCTACCCTTCCCATTGGCTAATCAGCGAGTTATGCAAATTAACTGGTAGCCAAGATGGCGGCCGGCAGCCAGGCAGCTGATGCGAACAGGGAGGCTTGCTTGCTTCAGTGACAGAGGACTCCAACGTTCCCCACCTGATTTGCCGGCCTCTCAGCTGCAAATCTAGGTAACTATGTTGCGAATATAGAAGCTAAAAGAACCCCAGAAACCTGCTTTACTCAGCAGGGCTTCAGCCAGCCAGACCGCAACATTGTATCAGATATAG